TGTGAAGCCGCTCATAAAAAGGAAAAATCTAGAAGCAGCCCTGTTAATTAATTACAGACGTATTCAAATCTACCTTTCATCGGAAAAATCATTGAGAAAATCGTCTTCGAGCAACTCACTGGCTTTCTGTCTCTAGATAGCTGTCTACACCAATTTCAGTCAGGATTTCGGCCCAATTATAGTAGAGAGACGGCTCTAATTAAGGTTATTAATGACATTACTTTAAACACAGACTCTAAAAAATGATCTCTTCTACTAATGCTTGATCCCAGTGCTGGTGTTCATCTTGTACTTTTTACCTCAGCTCAGTTAGCATACAAGATGTTTGTTGAAGTAATACTGTAAGTTTCAAGGTGGGAGACAATAATTCTGCAATCTGCACAGCATGCGGGCTGAGAAGAATGCTGGAAAGTCCCTCCTGTCTCCAGCAGAGATAAGGACGTGACTGCCACCATCCCAGTCAAAAACACTTTATCACATAGCAGATAAGAGATTAAGATTAGATTGCTGAACACACAGCTGAGCTTCTGAAACAATCTGTGAAATATCTATTGATATGGATTATGAAGTTAACAATTAAAAATGAAATTTGCTTCTCTTGCTTTTCTACAGAAAACGGCTCCCTCTGCTCGCTAATGATTATTTTTTGTTGTTGTTATTGTCTGGGCTATGTATCAGGGCTAGAGCTTGATCTTAAGGCCATAAAACCATAAGAATTCCAGAGCAAAATGCTCTTCTATAATTTGGTAAATCAGGAGCTCCTGCAGTCGTGTTTGATAGTGTTTACTCGTACGTATACTGCTATATGTACACTTTTCAGTTTGCATATGATGTGTACAAAGTTTTACTTTAAAATAATAATAATAATAATAATTTCAAGTAAAAAAGCATCCATAATAGTTAATGAACTAAAATCCAGTTAAGGTGAAAAACAAACAAAAAAATGGCTGAAATGAATGTAGGGCTGGAAGCTGAAAGCATAGTGTTAACAGTCTTAAAACAAATCAGTAGCACAAAATGTTTAGCAGCAAGCACACAAATACATTTCTAACCACGTTTCATTATTCAAAAATAGCCAAAGGGAATTGTTTTGTGCTGGATGAGCTAACTGGTACAACACAGAGTAGTAAGCCTAGTTAGTAATAAAGCCACACTACCTCAGGCAGTTGTGGGCTGGAGGTTAGTGTACTAGCCTTGTGAAAAGTTGGAAAGTTGCTGGTTTAATCCGCCAAGCTGACAGGATGTGACTAAAGTGCCCTTGAGCAAGGCACTTAACGCCCAACTGCTCTCCAGTCTCCATGGAAAGGGCTGTTTACTAGTGTGTATGTGGGTGTTTCACTGCACAGAGGGGTTACATTCAGATGTCAAGTTCCTCTGTGAGCGCAAGCACAACTGGTTATTGGTTCTGAATTCTCTACCTTCTCACTCACGTCCTTGGCAATGAATTCACATTCAGTGGTTTGGTGTAATATGCATACTTACTCAAGCAAAACCATAAGACTTTACAGTCCTGTTAAAACATAAGCATTTTATTGAACTGGTATATTTTCTCTCACTGTGTCCAAAATGATGCCCTAATCACTGTACCTTACATGCTAAAATCCGGATCACTCAACGGAACATTATAGGGAACAGAATTGATGGTAGTAAAAGATTAGGGACACTATGTCGTACAGGTTTGCTCATTACTGTGTGACAGCAGATTCTGTCACATAAACACTATGAACGTTAGGGCACTAAGACCGCCGAGTTTGACTGCACATGTGTGAAGAGCTCACTTAGATCTGTAACACATCTGCAGAGAGCTTTGTGGAGATGCTACTATTGTAGCAGGGCTCGCTAATCCTTCTCAGAAGAGTTGCATGTAAATATTCAAATTAAACAACACAATGCATTGTGGGCATCCTCTCTTTACTAGGGTACATTGGTTGTACACTACTTATTGCGGTGCACTGTGGGTTTGTTTGAGAGCACTGCACTGTTTTCAGACACCACTACAAAATGGCGGAACTCCAAAATAGTGCACTATATAGTGAATAAGGTACAGTTTGGAACACTGCTTCCATCTTCCTGTGATGAAGCAGAACACATACCAGAATAGTTACGTTAGTATTTGAATACAGACACCTTGAACGGTTAAACAAGTGTTGCACATCTATTTGTTTTATCAAGGGAGTCATATGCTTTCAAAGAGGGGGAATGACAATAATGTATTATCGCCTACCCATAATTCCTCAGTGATATGAAGCTGAAGTCAGCTATTCGCTAGCTTCTCGTTTGAATTTTCTGTTCCACCTTAAACGGAGCAGCAGTTACATTCTGGTGCTTAAGGCGTCAGAACTGCTAGACTATTTAAGGTGGAACGGGAAATTTAGCTACCTAGCTACCAATACATTAGCATACTATTAGCGATTTTTTATGTTTGTTATGAAGAAAAGGACCATAATACATTGAAATGACATTAAACTAAGACAATACAATGGTTATCGTAATTTATTTAATGGAGAAAATACTCACACTTGTGTTTCTTTGGTCGCTCGTGCAGCCATCTTGCTGATATTTCTTTTTTCTTATAACACTCTTTGGATTGTGCCTCTGAAAAACCTCCATTTGGAGGGCCAAGCAGCCCTAACACTTCACCCTACCCCTCTATCTCAAGAAAAATCGGGACACCCTACCCCTAGGCGTGAACACACAAAATGGAGGGGTAAGGGCTAAGTGGTAGGGGCAAAGAGGGAAATGGGATTGGGCTTTAATCTGGGTTAGTATTTTGGGGTTTACTCTGGTTTTTGAGGCTTGTGCTCCATACTGCCCTGTGATGAAGATAAGCCATTAAAAACACACAATTCAAATAGATTTTTAAACCGTATAAAATATTTAATCAGTTTCTCCCTCATTCACTACAACATTTAATTTAAGACAATTTTAAGACAATTAAAAAGATTTCATTCATACCCTCTAAATCAACCTGCTTCCTTTCATTAATATATTAGTAAAATCCACTGAATGTATTTCAGTAAAAGTTACAACTGGCCAAAACCATCCCACACACAATGCACAACCCCACACCAGATGAGCAGTAACACAGCTGTTCAATTTATGGCTAAAAGTGAACCTGATCAGGCTTCACCCATTCATTTCTCATCAAAACAAGAACAATGAAATTATTTATTCATCAGCAACGCAAAAAATATGAAAAACAAATAAATAACAGTCAATGTGCACTGAGCGCATTTCATCAGACCACATGAGACCTCAAGGCAGCCGATAAAGCTAGTGACCTCTTACTTGACCAGACCAGCTGAACAGAGACAAGGTATTGACAAAAACGGCAAAGTAACATTACTGTTTAATGTTACTGGACTGACCCTGAAACTGATAGAGGTTATTGCTAAGAAAGAGTTCCATTAGAAAAGTAAGTAAGCTAATTAGAAAGGTAAGTAAGCTAACCATGGAGCTGTTACTCAACAGAAGCAAACAGAGAAAGATTTAAAACCAGAGTTCAAAAGAGAAAACTAGTGAGAAGAAATACCGTTCCTGCAGGCTTCATATGTTGTGGCAGCAGCATGGCAAAATATTGAATTTTGTTATGTTAAAAAAGTTTCTCACCTCAAAATAACGACTTATTTTCAAGATATTGACTCATCTCAAAATAATCACATTTTCTTGAGGCTTTAAGATAGTATGAAGAAATAATGACCTATTTTCTCAACAAATGTATTTATAATCTTGGGATTTTGGTGACACTTTATTTTAAGTGGTCATTTTAAATAAAACGAACACTCAACAGACTCTCAGGACATTGTCAAGAACATATGAGGGTTAGGATCAGGTTTTGGGTTGAAGTTGAGGTTAGGGTTAGGATTAGTGCCAGTGTTAGGGTTAGGGGTTGGGTAAGGTTGGGTTTTTGTAATGGAAGTAACATATTAACAATACATCTACTTCATCTAGGTAATGTATCACCTCATTTTCAAGTTTTTTTCTTCAGTGTATTCAGATGCTTCACTACTGCTACTTCACTGAAATGCTGTTGATGTGTTACTGACGATCTGCTAAGAGTTTATTAATCACCTACAAAGGACTAAAATAAGGTGTTACCGGGATTTTGAGTTATTAAGACATTCTGTGTTCTGACAAAGTTAAGTAATTATTCCAGGATAAGTCATTATTTTAAGATACGTTGTCCAAATTTTCACATACTGCTGCCAGAAACGAAGAAGGAGATTTTTTCTCTTCTACCTGGCAAAACTGTTCTTCTTTAGGGAGATATAAACTGGTGGGCAGGTTTGGAGTCTATTACTCTACACCAGTGATGCCCACTTACAGCCCTGGAGTATCCCTGCACTGCACAGTTAACCCACTGCTGTAACCCAGCAGATCAGACTCATCAGCTTATTGAGCGATTCAATTTGCTGGATGGTTGCATTATAGTCAGAGGTGAATAATAACTACTTTAAATCATATTACTTTACTTCTATACAAGTACATTAGTGTGGGAAGTAATATCCTTTTCCTCAGTTACAATTTAGACTGAAAGGATCCACACAGAGCTGTATGAACTTCAGTTTCTGTGCTGGATGTCCTAAGACGGGGGTCAGCAACCCAAATGTTAGGAACAGCCATTTTGCCCTTTCAACAAAAATCAAGGAGCCACATTTTATGTCCATTTTGCCATCTTGGCTGTAAATATGTCTCAGTATGTGCTAATGTACCAGTATAGGCTAAAAATTTAAATGAAAATGCAGACTTTGCTCTGCTTTAAGCTTTAGCTCAGCTATAGCCACTTTTCTCACATCTCTAGCAGGATACTTTTCCACAAAAGTGGAATGTTTCTTGTAAAATGTCTCTCAGCATTCGGGTTTTTATGAGGTTGAAGTCAGCTTCTCATCCACAATCTTCTTGTTCTAATTTTCCCGTTTCACCTTAAATGGTGCCTGTGGTGTCAGAATGTAACTGCTGCACCCTTTAAGGTGGAATGGGAGAATTTGCACAAGAAACTGACTTCAGCTTCATGACTTTTTAGTGTTTGACAGTTTCTCGTTGCAGATTAAACGTATCCGGAAACCAGCTGGAGTGATTATAAATGCAAATAAGTCCAATCGCCTCCAAATTATTAACGTTCGTCTTAAGTCTTTCTCTGTGCCTTTTTTGTTAGGTGTTCGCTAGGGGAGATTGTTGTTGTTGCTATGGTGACCAGCAGTCTGCATGCCAACCTTCAAGGTTAAAGGGTGAACCAGTAGCACTCTGCGTTCTGCGTTTAAGACCATTTATTGTTAAAACTGTGTTAGAACGATAAGCAGAGCTTTATTTTACTGCAAAGGAGGATTATTTTATTTTTACCTAACAATCTAATTCTGCTGTGGAGCCACAACAGGGCAGTAAAACAGCCACATGCGGCTCCGGAGCCTCATGTTTCTGACACCTGTCCTAAGAAGTTCCTTTACAGTTCTACAGGCTATTTAAAGTAGGTTTCTGAGTTCGTACTTTTGTATTTCTACTTCTGAGTATGGATTTAGGCTGCTCCACCCACCACTAACCTAGGGCTGCAACAATCAGTCCACAAAGTTGATTATTTGTCTGTTATGTAAAGTAGTTGAATTATCCAAAAGCTCTCTATACAAAAATGTAATATACTGAAATTATACTGCAACGCATTCTATTTATATTTTGCAATATATTGACAACATATAGAATTGGCTTGGCTTCTGTTTTGTTGCACCATAAAAGAAGTGGCTTGTTACTCCACAGAACTTTGAATGATGTACTTTTGAAAGGAAATGAGAAAAGACACAACAGTTCGATTAATCAAATACTAGGTGATTAATTGGATACAGAAATAACCGTTATAGCTGCAGCCCTACACCAAGCTATGCAGTTCAGGGGTAATCCAGAGTATATGTAAAGTTGGATTGACTGGTTACCATGACAACAGGTTTAATTTAAGCTAGTCTGAGCTCAGCGTTGTGTAAATGCAGTCAGTTCAACTCAGTGCTACCTTGAATTGAGCCCAAATTTAGCTTATCCTGCTTCATGATATATTCTGAATGATTGTTCTACATTAACATCCCCTTGAGGTCAGCCTTCATCACAGTAACTCTCCCAATCTGTACATTTCATTAAAATACTGCAGACGTCCAGCCTTTAAAGCCCTTCAGTAAACCAGCCGCAGAGTCAGTGGTGTGTATGGCAGTATAAAGGCATGCTTGACTATCTCTCCCACTTCGACTACAAAGGCAGCGGTGCCACAGATGGCTCAGATTAAGAGTCAAGAGTGTCTGTGTGTTAACAAAACCAGTGTAAAACATTAGCAGCTGTCCATTTACCCCCTCACGAGTTCAGAGAAACAGAGGCCATTCATGACCTCTTTGGTCCAGACATGACAGCGGCCTGCAGAAGAGTCTGATTCTGTTTTCTTTCCATCTTGTTGGCAGTTGTTTTGGTGAAGATGACCTTTAGTGCTACCTGGAATTTTCTGGAAGGAGTTTCTGAAATAAGCAAGCCACGGCCACGTCCACCCTCATGACCAGAGTGACTCCCACCAGCACAAACACGCTGCTCACGATGAAGCCGCTAGCCTCAAACATCAGCCTACATCAAAACACAAACATATAAAGTCATAAATGAGGGGGAAAAAAAATCATAATAAAGCAAGTCCACTCCTAAAACTTGCATCAAATATTGTCCTGTTATATAATAATCTATAGTGCTGCACTGTATCTCTCAGCCTCATCCATTTGACAAACTTTTCTATTGTTTTAATGTTTTAATTCATCAGTGTTCTACAATACCCAGCAGGCATTTAGCAAATGCATTATATAACTCCTAGGAATTCTTGTGGTGTCAACCAATCCTGCTGGCCCAATAAACTATCTGTAAGCTAATAAAAAAAGCAAATCAAGCATTACTGTAACAATATGATACAGAATTCATTGTATTTATTTAGAATTTATGTGATTAATGTATTTATTTAAGACAAAATGGGTGTCAGAGAGAAGGTTTTTACACATTTAGCCAGAAAAAAAGCCACACTGAGGTAAAGTATCTATAGCTGTGCTACCTTGCTAACTTTATATCCTTAAAGTTGTGCTTGTGCTCCAGCCCCCTTCCCCAAGCAGATGAACATCAAGCCGGACCTTCTTTTTAAGTCATTATGTGACATAAAGATGTACAACGTGGTGTGAAAAACTCCTGACCCGACACCTCTGACTTTAAAAAGATTATTTCAGGCTTACAGCAGCGCATGCTAATCAAATTTTGGTTTGTTTTATTCTCTGGACTCAGTATTGCTGCTTATTTCAATTTTAACAGCAAAAAAATCTTAGTGGAGCTTAGCGCAAGTTGTGAACTGATAAAAATGTAATAAATAAAGCTGAATTCCGGAGTATCTCCTCTATAACAGAAACATCGCTGTATGAGTTTGTTTACAACTTACAGACTTAATTATGCAGAAATATTGATTGAAAAATTGTTATGATTCTTCTTTAAAGGGAGAGAATGGAAAGTGTGTGTGTCTGTGTGTGAGACTGTGTCTGTCACTCACTTTGGTGCGAACACTTTCCACACCATGAGGTGCCTCCTGAGGATCGCCGCAGCACACACTGACGCCAAAACCTGCGCGCGCACACGTGCACACACACACACACACACACACACACACACACACACACACACAAACGAGAGTGTGAGCCAAAACAAAAATAAACAACACAAACACAAACACACCCCGATATCAACACCTGCACATATAAGGCCAGCCAACCAACAACAACTGACAACTTCTGGGGTCTGTCTCAGGCCAACGACATACGAAGCTCATGATCACCTTCTGTCAGCTCACAGTTGCCTTGTTTCCAGTGAAAAACTGCATTTGAACACACCGTGAAGACTACAACACGCACAAATTTACTGCACCTGTCTAAAACTGTAAAACTGCATGTACAAAGTAAATAATATGTTGTTTGAATTTATTATAAGCTTCAAAATGTTCGCGTTTAAGCTCAATCTAGGATGTGAAAGTGAAGCAAACCACCGGTAGCAGCGCTGAGTGGATATAAAAAGTCGACTTAACAGTGAATGTTTGTATATTAAACAGGGAACTGAAATGTCTGGTCACATGTTCATAATTATATGACAAAAAGTAAAGTCCATGAAATGAGTATCTCATGCTTTACTTAAATGTTAGTGTGTTAGCTGAACACCTTCAGAGCTGTTTATTCATAACAATATATATTTTTTTCCTTGTTGAGAATACGATAATCACATACTAATAGTTTAAATACTTGGACATTCAAATAGCAAAAACAGTTAAATGCACATTCTTGATGCAAAACTTGCAACTTGCGGTGAAAAATGAGGCAATGAATAGGGTTTTTGAAAAAAGGGTTTTTGTTAAATAAAAATCTTCAGAACCCCATACATTTTGTCCTGTGTACATTTTTCTCCCGAATATCACTGGATCCTCTGAATAATGAGGTCGTTAAAGAGCTATAATACTAATATTGCTACATGCGAGCTAAAGCTATTGTGCATCAATTTGATGTCACTAAGCTACATCAACGTAAGGTGGGCTGTGGTGGTGCTCTGGTGAGTTGTGCTACATCGAAATGTTCTACTGTTACAGGCACAATTGCACAATTACAGGTATTCCCATAAATAAAACCTCTAGGTAGGATATTTTGATAGACTAAAACTCCTTATCAAAAATACTACCCGTGTTAAAACCACGAGGCTGAATTTAGCTTCTTTTTCGCAGCTTCTTATCAGAATTTTCCCGTTCCACCTTAAATAGTGCAGCAGTTGTGATTACCTATCACAAACATTAACACGACAAAACAATACTGACCTGTTAGTTCTGTGAAACAGCAGAAATAAGTTAATGTCACTCAGCTCTCAAGCACAAATACAGAAACCTGCTCATATTATGCCTTTCAACTCTCCTTGAAGCTAAAGTCAGCTTCTTTTTCGCCGGCTGCTTGTTCAAATTTCCATGTTCCACCTTAAATGGTGCAGTGGTTCAGAATGTAAGGTTAACTGCTGCACCATTTAAGGTGGAACAGGAAAATGAATAAGTAGCTGTTGAATGTCCTGAGAAAATGTTTTTAGAAAATGTTACCAGCATTAAAATAATAATTAGGATATTTTGACAGCCTTAATCAGCTTATTAGGGATCAGCGGTAATATTAAGCTGAGTCTGTACTGAATTAGCCTGAGTGCAGGCAAGTTTGTAGAGCTTTTCAAATCAAGCTGTACAGAACAGAAAGATCTATCACGTTTCAGTGAGTATCAGATGAAGAACAGAGAACCGCAGGGGAACCTGCTTCTTTTGTTCTGACTTCTCTTCATCTGCCCTCAGTCTGTACATGGAAATACTCCACCACTTTAGGAGCCTGCCAGTCGTGAATTCAGGGCACAGTAGCATTAATTTACATGTAGCAATGTTCATATTTCAACTCTTTAACGACCTCGTAATTCAGTATTCAATATTCGTATTCATTCTGCCCATAGAGAAATTGAGCTCAGAGCCAGAGTTCCTAATATGGGCATAAGAGCATGACGACGACTACAAAACGATGACATGACTACAGTGCTCTATGGCCTGATGGCGTCTTTGAAGGTATCAGCTTGGTGTGTTCCTGTTTAGCCCGCTAACTTGAAACTTTCACGACAATGGCTCACTTTTTCCCAGGCTACATCACCCTGGCAGCTTATGCTATACGTCTGACCTGCTCCATGGCAAGTTAAGTTTGGGATTTTGGATCAAAAACAGCTCTTCAAACAACTAGGGTCAAGCTTCTTTTATTTTGTCGTGACACTTCAGGTGAAAATGGTCAAAAATAGCACTTTTTTGGCCAAAAGAGAAGGAAAGCAGAAAAAAGCAAAAGACTAAACAGAACTACAACAAACTGTCAAAATCTAACACTTAAATTATTTGAATGGTAATGCAAATGAGAAATTGTGATTAAAAACAGTTTTTTTTTCCTTTCGCTGTCCAGTGCTGGTCAGCGCAGATGCGTTTGAGCAGCAGCAGATAAACAGTAAACATGTTGACTGTGTGGAACTATTTCATGGTTTCTACAAGGAATTTTAGACTTTATGTTGAGTATCAAGAGGAGGTATTTAAGATTTAAGGACTTCTTCACACGTGACAGCTGTAGAGCTTTAGTTTAAAATGATGAAAAAATTCACAAATGACAGCCAAAGAGTTAAATATAACTGAAAAATTATGGAATTCATTGCCTTGGATGACCAACTGTCCGTGAATTTTATACTGTAGCTATGCACTATAATCATTTCAGTGGGTTTACTTTTCATGGACTGTTTATTTTTTGTGAGGTCAGTTTTGTCCTACCGCAAACAGGTATTAAAATACTTTCTTAACTAGAATCAAAAGCATAAATAAAATGGCAAATTAAAAAAAATACATAGATATCAAATAAAAAATACATAGATATCAAATAAAAAATACAGGTATCAAGAATATAAAGCAGCAATTTCCTCAGTAAGCACAAACACAGTGGTGTTGCTTTTTCATTAATATACATGCTTTACGTTTTACATATTTACGTAGAATATTTTCTTTTTCCTTCTTTACAAAATAAGCCCCTTGACTTGTTAGCTACTGTTGTAAAACGAGTTAACCGCGTCTTTTTTGTTAGGTTTTGTGAAGCTGAAATTTAGGAATCCAGTCTAATATGAACCTGTTTCGTGAGACTCCTGAAGACACTGCTGAAGCCAGACAGGACTCTGAGAGGCAATGAATGAGTATATTTATTTTCAAGTTTTTTTAAACTGAAAAAAAGAAAAAAAGAAAAAATATATATATATATATTTTGGAAACAGTACTAAGACTTTCTAAGGGCATAAAGAAACAGCGTGTGTGTACCTGAGCTCCAATGATGAACAGATAGCGCGCCGCAAGCTGCAGCAGTGCTGAGCTGAACTGCTGAGGGTTTTCCCGCAGCCTCATCTCCATGACAACGTCATCCCCATCCTCACCTGCACCCGAGCGACCGGTTCGAGTCCCGCGCACCTCACGCACCAACGGCCAGAACAGCAGCAGCGGACAGCCAACTGAGCAGCCAGAGGAAAAGAGCAAGGTTACGTTAGTGCCCTATGCCTTACGCCAGCCTTACACCAAATGGCTTTTCAAGCGATTTCACTGTCACAGACAAATTTATAATGGCGCAATAAAATCAGAGAGAGCCTTGCTAGAGTTGTGTCTCACTCGCGTCATCTCGATTGTTTAATGTGAGGTGGTCAGGATGGTTGTCTTAGGTCTGTCTCGCATGCCCTGGGCACATCACTATTTGCATATAAATTTTATCACAGTGTAATGATGAGAAACCTGACCGCTAAACTCTAAACGATCGAGATGATGCGAGTACGATGCAACTCTTCCAAGAGTTGTTTATTCCAACATTGGAAATTTGTCTGCGACAGTGAAATCGCTTGAAAAGTCATTTGATGTAAGGCCGGCATTAGTTTTAAGCTGGAGCTATGATGCTAATGTTGCTAAAGACTAGTCAATAGTCACCCTAATTCTTTCCTGTGAATATATCTCCAAAACCTCTCTCAACCCACTCAAACTGCATTCATCTTCGATCTTGCAGACAGCATGATTTAGTGTGAACTATGAAAATGAACAGAACTTCACTGTGTAGTCAAAGGAACAGGAGCTAGCTGAGCAGTTTTCGTGACTGAACCTCCTGCCGTCCATAATAATACACTGTCCTCCAACATCACTCTTCTTCTTGCCATCATCATCTAAAATTGAGGTCAACTGCACCTGCCCACAATTTTTATACATGCCAGAGAGCATAATGCAGTACATCGAAAGCATCTGCACTCATTTAATTCTAGTTTTTCCTTTAATTTGTCTCCCGTCTGCACATTTGGCTGCTAGTAAAAGCCTCTCTTCATGATAAAGATGGATGTCTTTTGAAGCCGCCATATGATTAAGTGGGCGAATCATGACTTTGATCACTGCTTTGTGATCTTGCTTAAATGTGCTCCATAAGAACTTCAGACAAGGTGTTCATAAAGGTCCTCAACACTCCAATTCAATATTACATCTTTACTTCAAAGCCCAAAAGTTATTAACCTTTTAGCCCCCCTTATAATGAATTACTGAGTATGAGAAATAGACGCTACATTAAGAGTCATTAACAATCAAAGAACAGCCGAACCTGAAACGCAAACTCCATCTGACAGCACACATATTAAAGCTTCTAAAAGCGATGAATTTACACAACTTTCCCTTTACCTCCAAAAAAAATCTCCATAATAAATTTATGATGGTCATTCAGAGTGGTTTGGTGTGAAATGCTTCAGTCTAGAGAAGCTTACCGAGTCAGAATTGTTCACAGTGGTGGTGATAGGAACCAGACGTCCACCTCTAAAAGCTCCCTCTCATAAAGTTATTAAATGAAAAGGTTATGAATACTCTGCTGTTTGAGACATTGTTTTACGATAGTTTTGAGAAGATTTCAGCAGCAAATGTATTGCTTTATATCTATTCATGACAGAAAGGTACATGCAGGACACCATAAGACAAAATAGTCCCCAAAGAAAACATATATTTTTTTAATTTACCAGTATAAAAACTACTCAAAAGGCACATGTAAGTCCACCAGTGGTTTTGGATAGTAAATAAATGTCTATATTTGTGTTTGTGACCTTACTTCCCATCACCACCACTGTAAAGAAACTGGAGTCGCCAAGTTTAGCTACAGTGATTCATTTGACATCAAACCACTCTAAATGACTCTGTTTACATCTCAATAACTGAATTATGCAGAAATTTGTAAATTACACATATTCTATACCTTGGCTGATGGGCTATATGTTTAAAAGCATCTAGACAGCCCTTCTGATTAATAAATTCAGTGCACCTGTTGCTGACACAGGTGTTTAACTGTACACATACAGCTTTGTACAATCTCCAAAGCAAAGGATTGACTAATAGAACGTGATGCTCTGGAGCAGCAGGTCACCATGCCCAGTGCCAGGCGTCAGCTGGAGGGGTATAGAGCCCCCCAGCATTGGGCTGTGGAGCAGAGGAGTTCTCTGGAGTGATGGAGCTCCATACAATACTTTGTGGAAGTTGAAGTGATCCAGAACTGATCATCCAACATCAGTACCTGACCTCAATAATGTTCTTGTGGCTGAATGCAGCACCACCCCCCAGTGGGTCATGGTGGTACTGTTAGTGGGATGTTGGCCATCATTTGTTTTATTTTTTAATCCAAAAATCTCAAGAGAACCAAGAAAACCAAGCATATGGCTGGGCAATGTGACTATATATCATTATCATGATAAATGATGTCACAATATAGTATAAGCTTTTCTGAACAGATCATGTATATTATCAGTACTTGTAGTACACTGACAAACAGCACGCTTCATTATAAAGAGAGCAAAATTAGTTCTGTTAAACTGGATTTAGTTCAACACAGTACTCCAAATATTGAATAAAAATCATTGTATTTACAATTTTTCGATAGTATTTCTTAAACTGTAGTATTACTGGTTCCTTTTTCTCTGTTTCAACTGATCAGAATATTGTTATGCATTGTGAAAATTTCTTGAAGTATTGTGATATTATATTTTTGCCATATCGCCCACCTCTATTAGGTGAATCAGAAAAATGATCAGATTGGTAAAATCTGTAGGTTGCGAAAGCTTTCGTGGTCGTTTGTGTGAGCTGTGAGTAGCAAAAGTTTGGGGTCCCCTGAGAGTGTAAAGCCTTCCAAGAAGACTAGAGGATGTTACTGCAGCAAAAGGGGACAAACTCCCTATTCATACCCTCGATTTCAGAAGAAATGCTGTCTACAGACTTTCGGACATATACAGTAGTGTATCTGGTGTCTCAAGTTTGCTTATTTAGTTTTGCACTGGAGGTGCGAGGATAAGAAGTAAATCAACAACAGCATGGATAAACTTTCTTTCACCCATTTTTTTTTATAGATAACATTGTAATATACAGATGTTAGACGTTAGATGATGCATTATGTTAAGTTTCCATTACCTATTAGCTACATTAGCATTATAGCTCCAGTTTCCTACATTTTAGGTAAGGGGCGAACATTTGCATGTACCTGCAAACATAATGTGCGAGGCGAAGGTGTTGAGGGTGACGAGCGAGGCGGGCAGCACCGTTCCCGAGTGGCCCTGTGGGAAGCCAACAAACGCAGCACCCCACTGGATGGAGGGAAAGGTGGGCAGGTGACCTGTAGCATGGAAAAACTGGGAGGCAGCAAGAGACCACAGAACCACTGGAGCCCAGGGCACGCTGAATATACCTGTGGAGGGATCAGAACAAACAGCAGGACAGAAATCAGAGACAAAACTCAGTCAGAAAGTGACCTCAACAAGTCACAATACACGAGTATCTTACATTATCAACTAATGTTACTTCATTAATCTTAGCTACATTAGCACTTACGCTACCTGGCTCCTAGCTTTGCTTAATTCTATGCTACTAGGTTTAATTAAATATGATCACTGTTGGCCCTTATGCTAAATTTTCATTAGTTACTACCAACCTAAGCATTCTAGCTTTTATTCATTATTAGCAATGTTATTATTTACACTAACTGGTTTATTTATTATTTATTATTAGTAAGCAGCCATTATTTTACCTAATTTACCTACTACAGACCTACTATTTGTTAGCATTCTTTGCTGTAGTTTCTGTTTTAAGTAACTGATTTATACTTGCTTTTATTTATTAATAAAATAGCACTCTTCTAATAAAGAACCATTATCAATATATTAATGATTGTAGTATCTGCAGTAACTGGTCGATGTTTGCTTTTATTTTGCCATTAATGAGCAAAATATTTCATTTTTGCTTACTAACTACAAATTATTTACTAGCAATGCAGCAATTCTTCATCAACAGCAAGAACAGACACACTGAACTGAAAGCCATAACTGAGAAACAAGGGTGCTTTTACATCTAATTTGATGATTTATTTATGCTTCTGAATTAACATAATGCTGATAATGCTTTAAAGGTGATATTTGGTGCATTGGGAAAGAGAACTAAGAGGACTATAAGAGTCGTTTAATTTATATTGCATAGTAAAATTACGAAAATAAAATACTTCACAGTTTCCCAAACACATTTAAAGCTGAATTCCAGAGCACCTCTGCTATAATGTAAAGCACATGGACATGGATATAGAGTGTAACAGTGTGAAGTTTCTCCAGCAGGGGGCACTGTAACAGAAGTTGCTTCAGTATTCATCATTTTAGTGAAGAAACAGCTATTAACCTCTGCAAGATCTAACGCACACAGTAACAGCTTTTAAACCAGGGGTTTATAGTTGTTATTTATGTGATATTATTTATGTGATTTCCATTAAAGAATTTCATTTAATCAATTAATGCTTAAAAGCTGACCCTTTTTCCTCTTTTGGATGAGAACTGAACGTGCCACTTTAGACCATTTTTGGCCAAACATTTTCAGTGGCTGGAACTTCAGTGCATCCCTGTTAAAATAATAGGTGGCAAATATTAAAATTGACATGATTTTGTACTTGCCCCAAATACTGTCGATCAGCCAAGACATGTTTGGTAGCGACGTTTTGCTTCTTTGGTTTAGAAATGGAGCTGCTAAGATAACAGAGCTAACAAACACTGGAAGTCAACAGTCACCCAAACCATTTCTAAAATCACATGCAAAAATCTTTATATATTGGCTTCAGATTACATGAATAATTTGGTAAAATGGCATGGATAAACCTTATTTATGCATTTAATCTAAAATTGGAATCATCATCTGCGTAACGTCACACTTTATGGTATTATTCCACCTTTAAACTCGGGGAGAAGGGAGTGCAGGGGTGTGTTGAGAAACATCACTGAAACATAGACCCACAGAGAAGAAGCATAGCATTACATTTAGCAACAATCAGAACATAGAAAAGTTTAAAGTAAGTTTCACTGCACTCTGAACCACACTGACTTGTCTGCGTGACCTGCATTAAGACCTGGATGAGGTTTGAGAGACATTCCGAGCATGAATTTGCAGAAACGGTTTGGGAAACTATTGACTTTCAGGGCTTGTAAGCACTGTTGGCCTCATAGTTCTAGACTTTTGACACCAAACCTGTCTACGTTCATTGACTGCATTTGAAAACCAAGTATGATTTTTTTTTTTACCAAACTATTCCTTTAACTTCCAAGTAAGAAAGAAAGCTGGAGCTTACTGGAGTGACTCTGCAGGCTGGAGAGGGTGCTGGAGGAGGAGTGGAGGTGCAGCATGGCTGCGGCCTGCAGCAGCATTAGCAGGAAGGCTAGTGCCATGCCTTCAGGGTGCAGCAGCAGCAGCCCCAAACCCAGCAGCCCACAGAGCAAGACCAGCGGAGCCGAGTAAACAGTGCCCAGCCCGTAGGCCTCCACAGCTGGACGCCCGTCCGCCTCGTCCCCCTCAGACCCTCCATCCTCCAGGGACTGCCGGATACGCTGGTACAGCTGCGGCACAAGGTGGTGCAGCTCTGCTTGAGGGCTAATTCCAGTACTGGCGCGGTACCTGGGTGGGGGCATGGACGTCGCACGGGGGTTCAGAGGTGCTCGCATCTTCAGGAACACAGTCAGCGGGTCCAGCCACAGCAGCAGCAGCCCGAGGCCCAGGAGGCCAAAGGCGATCCGCGGCAAAACCACCTGTGCAAGGCTAATCAGAAATCAGGAATGTAAATCAGGGCTTTAAAGTCAACCAAAATCAAAAAAGGAACCTTTTTTTTAAACCTTATTAGTTAATGTTCCTGATCATATTAAAGGGAAATTCCTCCGGTTTTCAAAATTTGAGCATAATTAAATGGTTAAGATGTAAACATTCAGAGAGGGTTGGTATGAAAGGATCTGTTCTAGAAAAACTTACCTAGTCAGAATTGATTACAGTGGTGGTGATGGGAACCAAACGTCCTTAGCATTTAAATGCCTCTAAAAGCTCCCTCAGAGAAAGTTATTATATAAAATGGTTATGAATATGCTGCCTGATGACTTTTTTACGACAGTTTTGAGAAGCCGTTCATGGCGGAGAGGTACATGCAGAACATTGTAAGTAATAGTCTCCATTGAAAACTTTTTTTTCAGATTTATCGCTATTTTACCATCATCAACATTCCACATAAAACTCAGAGGAGATGTGTAGGTTTACTGGTGGTTTTGGACAGTAAATAAAATGGCTATATTTGTGTTACAGACATCATGACTCCTGGTTCCTATCACCACCACTGTAAAGAAACCAGTCTGTAAATTTGTCTGTACGTTTACATCTCAACGACTAAATTTTGCAGAAGTTTTGAAAAATCGGTGGAATTCCCTTTTAAGGACTCATCTGTCAATACCAATATGATTACAATATCATGGCTCGTTCCTAGTTTGCACAATGCCAACCGGTTCAGACACTAAAAATCACTTGACTACATTAAGAATTTAAGAAATGTAGTAAGTTTAAAAGAAAATCCATCTTTTACCTAATCAGCTCTGCCAGGTTTCTGAAGCTGTCCTCAGGAGTGGCACTAACTGCCCAGTGCAGACCCATGCAGATAGAAGCCAAAGGGAGCAGGCAGCGGGCAGTGAACACAGCCACACTGGTGCAGTTTAAGTTGCCGTAGTGCCTCAGCCAGCGGTGCAGAAGGAACGCCCAGGCAGACAGCGAGGCGAGGGACAGGATGTAGTGCAGGTTGCGCATGCGGCTGTCCTGCACTCGTGAAAGCGGTGTGAGGAAGGCCGAGGGCTGGCAGGAGCCCTGCTCCTCGCGGCAGCTGTGGAACGACAGGGAAAGGTAGAGGCAGCCCACCAAAACGGCTACACTGACCAGCAGGGCGGTGCTCTCGCGGCGGACTGTGGAGAGTGGCAGAGCCAGTGGGAGAAGCCCAGGAGGTTTCTGCGTGTCCGACGGAGGACTGGGCACCAGGAGCCCATCCCAGTTCAGCCGAAGCGGAACAAAGAGGCCCAATGTGAAGAGCAGGAAGGTGACCACGCGTCCCTCGGAGATGACATAGCTGTCCGAGAGCAAAGAGGCACAGCGCAGGAAGAGGACAAGGAGCGGTGGGGTGAGGAGGCGCCACACAGACAGACGGGCACTAGAGCTGCACAAAGACCACAAAAAACACCACGTTATTACACCACATCATGACTGTGATACTACTTTCAAGATGCAATTGTTTTAATAAGAAAAACCTGTATCTCCCAAACCGTAACTTTACAGGAGAAGGAAAAGCTGTTAATGTGACACACTGTGCTTTTTAACAGTTCTACTGGGCCATTTTTCATGAGAAGTTCACACCAGGTAAAGAGCAGCTTGCATTTTCAATAGAAATTAAAAGTTTACACACACACTTTTTTTGAATATATATATATATACACATGTATGTATATACACACATATATATATATATACATATATATATATATATATATATATATGATATATATAATTATATATATATATATATATACACACACACACACACATATACATATATATATATATATATATATATATATATATATATATATATATATGCACATTTGTATGTACATATTTATATTTACTTTTAACACACACATATAAACATATAAACACACATATACATATATAAAATATGTGTGTGTGTGTGTGTGTGTGTGTGTGTGTATATATATATATATATATATATGAAGTGTGTGTGCGTGTGTGTTAAAATACATACCTTTAACATGTTGAAAATGAAGATTTTCTATATAAGTATATATACTCACACAGTCACATTGTTGATGTTTTCTAAGCGGAAATTATCCTTTTTTATTTGCAGTAGAATTTCTATGCTTCCAATTCTGACCAAAAACCATAAGATGCAAGCTTAACACTGCCCTCTGTTGGAGCATAAAGTTCAGACATCTCCATGGTCTTAAATATGAAAAAATAACATTTGGGAGAAGCTCATTTGTATATACAAAATCTACCTAATTTAGTTTTTTTTTACCTCTTTTTATATTGACTATTCAATGTATGTGATGATCACATACAGGCTCTTATGGGCAAATAACTAAAGATTAGCGTGTATTGCTCAGACCTGTATTGTATTAAACTTACAGAGAAGAATCTGAGTTTGGTCAAGATTTTCACAGCGCGAATGTAATTTGTAATCAACATTACAGAGGCCTATGTTGCCTTACCTGCCACGAGTAAAAGCCCGTCGAGTCCTCCACAAGAACGTGACCTCAGACATCAGTGCCGCCGCTCCAAAACACCATGAAACTTCCACGAAGCCCAGTGTGAAGAGCTGACATGCAGCTATGGCTCCACCCGCCAGTAGCCCGGAGAGCAAGGGAGCCTTCAGCACGCTGCCCTGTAGGACAATGAGGGACAGCTCCGACAGAACGAAACACGCTACACAAGCAAAGCCTAGGACCAGCAGACCTGCTGCCATTTTAAGAGGGTTAAAACGGGCCCACGAGGCGCGGCAGGTCTCCCTAACGGAGCTCAGGTAAGCCTGCATGGAGGCCGTGAGCTCAGCTGAGGGTGGAGCACCTTCGCTGACTGAGCTCAGGTACTGAGAGGACAGCTGGGTGAAGTGGGACTGAAGCTGGGACAGACTGCTTGCTGGAATGTCTTTGGCCATGTTGGAGTAGGTCTCCAGGAACCGGTTTACCTGATAAAAAATAAAAAAAAATACATTGTATTATTAAAACCGAGATCCATATTTATTTTACGTCTTAAATAGAATGTCTTTGTTACTGTGCATTTAAGACTGAAACATGGATATGATCTCTATTCTGATTGGCCCCCTGTATTGTTCATTCAAAAAGCAGTCCAGTCTGAAACTATTTTTACTTTCTTTTCTAACCAATTTCATAAGGAATGGAACAACACAAATGGTCCAAACTTTTTACAATAACATACATTAAATTAAATGATCTATATTCGACTACATAAAGCAATGTGCAAAAGTCTTAAGCATGTTATATAAATAACTGGCGGCTCCCATCTTGGCAATAAGGCCCGATCTCATGTCTTCTTTTTACCCCTACCCCTTGTTTTCGAGTGTCACCCTAACCCCTTGGAACTGAGTTACAAGGGGTAGTGGTGAAATCTTGCCCTACTTAATGGGACAACCCCCCCCCCAAAAAAATAAAAACATTGCTACATTAACAGCTACTAGTGGTGCTCTGCAGACGACCTAGCCCGTCTTTAGTGATAGCAGAGGAGGGTAATGTTCAGCAACCTCACTGCTGGGCTTTAGTTACATTTAGGGCATCATATGCCTTCAAAGAGGGGGTATAAGACAATTATTTATTATCGCCCACCTCTAATTCTTTGGTGATACGAGGCTGAAATCAGCTATTCATCAGCTTCTTGTTCGAATTTTCCATTTCCACCTTAAATGGTGCTGCAGTTACATTTTGGTGCTTCAGGCGTCAGAACAGCTGTACTATTTAAGGTGGAACAGGACAGTTAGCTAGCTAGCTACCGAAACATTAGCATGCTATTAGCGAATTTTTATGCTTGTTATGAAGAAAACGACCATAATACATTGAAACGACATTAAACTAAAATAATACAATGGTTATTGTAATTTTTTTAACGGAGAAAATATATTTGTGGGTTTCTTTGGTCACTCGGGCGGCCATCTTGCCGGTTTTTCTTTTTTTCTCATAAAACTCCATTTGGAGTGTGCTTCTGTAAAACCTCTGTTTGGAGGGCCATGTAGCTCTAACAGTTTGCCCTACCCCTCTATCTCAACAAAAATTGGGACACCCTAACCCTTGATGTGAACACGCAAAACAGAGGGCTAAGTGGTAGGGGCAAGGGGTTAAACGGGATTGGGCCTGAGTGTTTTTGCTTGTTAAAACATTGTTTAACATGAGAATAAATCTGGTAAAAAGTAACAAGAATAATAACTACAAATAATACTGGGTTTCCTCAGCGAGACATTTGGAAACAAACACACTGACTTACACAGAATCACACCTTAATCTATTATTATTTGTGGTTATTGTAATATTATTGTTTTTTCAAGCATATAAGTGCCCTCTGACAAGATAAATAGCTTTGCAGGGAACTAAAACATACATATATAAACACGTTTTACAGTTTATTAGTGAAGTTATTATTTCTCAATAAACAACTTTGCTTCAACTTCTCTTATTGTTCACCTGTTTGACGTTGATCCACAGCGCCTCTGCCTGGCTGAGACTCATAGATGCACCCAGAGAGCTGTTGAGGGGGAAGAGGGGCAGAAGAACCTGTCCTACGCTGCTGTATGGAATAGGCACTCCCAGCAGCAGGGCCAGCGTGGGCACCAGATCAGTCTGAGGAACCACCTCTGGCTCCACCTGCACACATTTCACACAGACACTCCTTCAGTAATCTTCAAATCATTCTTCCACTCTTCTACTTTAAACAGATCTGTGCAAACTCTACATTATGAAAGATATGCACATTACACCATAAACACAGAGCATGTTAATGCAGCTTCTTAACTAACGTGTATCAAACTTATTTTGAACACACTAGAAGGTTTGTGGATGAGGAACCTTTAGTTCGGGGGGCATTTCCCAAAGTGGGATTTCTCGATTAACTAGATCTAGACCTGTGAGCCGGGTGCTGGGAACAGAGGGGATCCGCTGTAGAGAAAGAGAGCTGCATCCGTCTCCTTCTGGCTCTCTCCACCATGGTCTCCTGTGTCCGTCATGCCGTGATCCCCCATCACCACCAACAGGGTGTCGTTCTGCAGTCGCTTAATCACTGACCTGGAGTCAGAAACGGAAGAACACAGACTCTTTTACAACACTGAAAGCAGTGGTTGTTTAGCCAAACATGCTAATGCTGCCAATAAGAATTAATGACCTCTCCTGCTCCTCCTACTCCTCTTTGATAATGTGTGATGTGGTGAGTAATCGGTGGTCCTCACAAAAAGATGAATTACCATAGCATTTCATTTTACAATGATATGAATTTGGATGTATATTTAAATAAATACAATATCTTCAAAGGCACAGGAACTCGACTGATTGGGGAGAGAATAAAAGAAAACTAACCGGGTCTAACGTGGTCTACAGACCAAGACTAACTGGATCAGATGTGTTATTTTGGGGCTAGTTCTCCTGTCACAGGGCTCTGCTTTAAACCATACAACACTGCCACTGACCTGATGACTTCGTCCATCTGTGTGAGCTTCTCTGCCATGGCAGGATGGTCAGGGCCAAATCTGTGTCCACAATGATCCACTCCCAGAAAGTGAGCAATCAGGACATCCCAATCGTCTCCCTCCACTGTGAGGAAGACATGGGGCTGTTACGGTTCTCCATTAAAAAGACATTTCAGAAAAAAGGATATATAGCATATAATGCATAGTAACATACAGACAGAATTCAGGCCTTAAGCTGTCAGCTAACATCCTTTTTAGCTTTGCATTGTTCTTTATATGTTTATAGAAGAATGTCATACAGTGTCAGAAACCGCATAAGAAGGTTTGCCAGAGATACTCACTGGTGGGGAAGATGTTCTGGAGGATTCCGTTGTCTACAGTGTGCAGATCCTTTACGTTGAAGGAGGGGAAAGGGAGTGAGCGGTGGAACTTTCTGGGGAAAAGACTGACCCACGTGTCATCGCCCATGAAGACCACTCGCTTGCCTTCATACAGCACAAAAAAAGGCAGTATGATCAATGACCTGTGTAAACGCTGTATTAGGGTAGCACAGCCAAATGTATTAGGGTAGCACAGCCAGGGTAGCACAGCCAAATGAACCCCCTGCCTGGATTCTACACTCTGATATACAATACAGATTATGTTGTCTTTCTTAATGTTAATGAATAATGTATTTAATTTGATGATCAATCCATGAGAGCTGCGCACACATCATTCCATTCTCCATCTTCTCAAGATCAACACTGCAAAAAACGATATCTCAAATCTACTTAATATAGGTTACATTTTTCATTGTGTGATGCATCTTATTTCTAGATATTTTTACTTGTTTTAAAGGGGAACTCCACTGATTTTTCAAAAATTTTGTATAATTAAATGGTTAAGATGTAGACAAAGCCATATAGAGTAAAAAGCCATTTCTCTAAATAAAAACTTAGTAAGTCAGAATTGTTCACAGCAGCAGTGACAAAATGAATTTAAGTTATTACATTAAATGGTTATGAATACTCTGAGATATTGTTTTACAGTAGCTTTGAGATCGTAATCAGTTTGTTCTGATCTGTTCATGGTGGAGCGATACATTAAGGGTGATCTATGGCAAAACAGCCCCCAAAAAACCTGTCTTTTTTTAAATTTCCCATTATTTTACCATCATTAACATTACATATAAAAACCTCAGAAGACAAAGTGTAGGCTCACTGCTGGTTTTGGATAGTAAATAAAATGGCTTTATTTGTGTTCTAGACATTGTGGCCCCTGGTTCCTATCACCACCACTGTGAAGAAATCAGAGTCAGTAAGCTTCTCTACAAATAAACTATTTCACACTAAACCAATCTAAATGATATTATTTACAGTTCAACCACTGAATTATGCAGAAAAAATGGTGGAATTCCCCTTTAAGGACCCAAATCCTAGATTTTTCTTTAATTTGACTTTTTCTTTCTTGTGGTTCACTTATGTTCTGGTTTTGTTTACCAAAAACAGCCTAATTCATTTTTATATGACCACTTTCCAACTTCACTGCATCCTAGGCTTTTCTTTCTTACTGTGCCTTTAAGGTGTATATATGTAAATGACCTCTGCTCTGATTGGCCACCCTCTATTGTGCCTTATTCAAACAAAAAATATCAGTGTCAATGTTTCTGTGGGTGTTTTTTAATGAATCAAGGTCCAGCAAAGACAAAAGTATTGTGGCCCAAATAATGCGACTACATCCCAATACTGATTCAGCAACACAATAAAGGCCAATATTCTACAATTTTCTTGCATTTTATTATTTTTTTCTATTTTTTTTTCAGTAACACTTTTTTAATAAACCATAAAATATGATTTCAGTCTGTTTTGGAGGTCCTTCAGTTCAGCCTAGAATTTTAATATTTTTATTTAAATTAGTTTTTTTATCTTTACATTACTAAAAATATCAGTTGAGTCAATTTCTACTAACAGGCCACTATCCCTTAACAGGCCAGCAGGGAGTGTTTAAACATGGTGTTTTTGTTACTGTGCCTTTGTTACACGCCAGTGCAGCACATGTTCTTTTTTTATTTTTGTCTTTCTTGTTCCGTTTTTGTTTTTTTCCTCCTCTATCTACCTTTAACCAGGTGGAGAGAGGATTTAACGGGAGGAGCTGTTGCTGGTTGGCTGCGTTAGCACTGTTTCCTCATCTGTGGGCGGGCCTTGGCAAACAAAAGAGCCTTGGTCTACATGACTAGAAGAAATTCCTTTACTCCACGTGTGAGATGAGCTGCCTTCACCTCAGAGCGGTGTGATGGTCGTGGGTCTAAGTCACCCTGTATGTCTGACGCAAGACGCAAGTTTTTATCAGTATAGAACATTTAATGTATGCTAAGTTTAAGCTTTGTTTACATCCTTGACTGCTAATGTGAGGGGTCTTGCCCTACTCTAAACGTGGTCAGGAAAGCTTGAGCACCTGTACATTCACAATAGGTTCTTACACTAGGTTAGGGATGGGTGCCACCTTTTGTATTTTGTTAGGGTTTAGCTGTGGTGAGGCAGGTTAGCTTGACTTTTGTTTCTTTCTTTCCTTGGGCACCATCCCAAGTCCACCTTTATGATTAGCTGGTGGGGTTGTGTTGATGCTGTAAGCCTTCACTCTATAACTTGTGGATCTGCATTAGTTGTCTTTTCACTTTTGTACTTTAACACATTTTTAATATATAACTAAAGCACTGCATATTACAGCCTTTAAGACTGACCACATAAAAGCAGTGAATTAAAAATCTTCAGTTTTCGTTGCTCATGTTTCATATATGGACCTCTGACAATTTACATATATATCAAACAGTTTTATTTCAAAAAAGCTAAGAAAATGTCCATGATATGGGTTTTCAATGTACTGCAAGATGTATCACAATTGCAATATGCAGAATTATAATTGCACTATCCATATTTTGTCTATACAGTGGAGCCCTACTCCTCTGCTCTAACTCACCTGCTTGACCCAGCTGGTGGACAAGGTTATCCTCAAGGACAGCGCTGGAGGCAAAGTTGTTCCCCACGTCGATGAAGGTGGGCAGGGAGCCGGTGGTGAATCCTTTGATCCTCTGCATGGTGGTGGTGGGCGGATCGGCCCTGAAGGTGTACAGCCTGGTCTGGGACGGCCAAGACGAAGCCATCTCATCCAGGACGGGCAGTTTGTTCTCAAAAGCTCTGGGCGAAGTGTTCCCCGGGTCATAACGAGCGAAGTCGGCCTTCAGGGCGTCGATTATGAGGACGACAGCTCTGCGGAAGCGCGGCTCCTTCAGGCAGAAGTCTCCTTTCACATCAGCCCCTGGGGGAAGGACGTCCGCACAGGTGCTGGTCCTGTTGACCTCCAGCCGCACCAGCAGGAAGCCCCCGACGAAAAGAAAGATGCCCACATAAAATATAGAGCATATCCAGAGGAGGAGGGCCAGGACAGGCAGTCTCTTCATCCTGTAGAGGAGGTTATAGCAGAGAATGAATGAAAAGATGGAAATTTCTCCCTTTTTTAAATGAAAGCATTTAATGTAGCATATAAAGAGTGTTTCAAAACATATCATTTGCTCCACAGTCCACAGAGTCCATACAGTCCATATTAAAAACTGAGCTACAAAAACAGCCTGTTTTGAATTTTTGTGATGTCATAAAACCAACACATTTACATATATCCACATATTCAGCCTACAGCAGCTTAGCTCTGCCCAGTAAAGCTGAAATTATAAGGAGTGTTTCAGCCCAGATTGCTTTTGAATGAGAGTAGCCAATCAGAACAGAGATCATTTACATGCATAGTAACAAAAAAGGTCACTCCAAGGGATAAACAAAAGCTGGAAAGGGTCACGTACAAACTAACTGTTTCTGGTACATGCAACCACACAAACATCCTAAGTGGACATCAGGCAAACCGTAGAAAACTGAAAACTGTAGGATATGGACCCTTTAAAGGGTATATATATAACATGCTGAAGCCACTGAGTAAGCCAGACTTAATGTAAAGCGAATAGATACTAATGTGCCAACATGAAATAAAGATAAAGTAAAGTTAGTTCTCAATCCATAATTTTCTGCTGTTGACTCAGGTTGAAGATACTGCCAGTTTAACCAGTTTAACCCAAATGGGGTGCTGATAACTACAGTCACAGTCATGACAGCGACAGGTTTGGCTCAGAGAGAGAGGTGCATTCAGATTCAGGGCTGCTGTGACATTGAGTACAGTAAATGAACTGTATAAGCTCTCTGTCCAGCACGCTTTATCGTTATACTGACCTTGCACAGCTCTGCTCGTCCTCCCTCGCTCTCCCTTGCTCTCTCTCTCAGCTCAGTCTGGTAAAGGACCGTAAAGGCTCACTCCACGTCCGCTCTCAGCGAAGCTCCACAGCCACATCAACAGCGGCTGACAGAGTAAATTAGACCCCGTGTTGTTGAGCCTCAGTTCGGGCGTCGCTGCTGCGAGACTGCGGTTCAATTCATCTCGGACGCCTCGCTGCCCGGTTTCCTTTTCCGTCGACATGCGCTCCTCTCTCCGACAGAACGGAGTGTCAAAATAAAAGTCACGTTTTTTTTCCGTTTTCTTTTATTTTTGTATTTTTTTTTATTCGTTTGTGTGTTTTTAAGTGCCAAAAAAACAGTCCAGTCTACACGACGCTTTTCCAGCTTCTCTTTATTCTTTTGGATTAAACAGAATGTTTTTAATGGGAATTCTTGTTTGTATGGATTTTAAAATAGATTTTAAGGCAAAGTCTCCTCAAAACTATCATAATAGTCTCAGACATCAGGCAGTGTATTCATAACCATTTCATGTAATAACTTTCTGTGAGGGAGCTGTTCCTTTAAAACTTTTATATGTAGTGGGTCTCTGTTCTGATTGGCTGCCCTATATTGCGCTTTGTTTAGAAAGATGTCCGGGCTGAAACACTCCTTATAACTTCAGCATGAATGGGCGGGGTTAAACTGCTATAGGCTGAATAGGCAGATATTTGGATATGACATCACAAAAACAATGTTGTCAATATACTAAGCTGTTTTTGCAGCTTAGTATATTGACCCATGTGGACTGTATGTTATATTTTTAAACTTTAATAATGTTTACATAATTCATCAAACTTAATTGAAAAAATTGTTTTCAATGAAATTTTACATCTTTAATTTTATGACGCTTTCATTACATGCACCAATATTCAAAAAATAATTTATTATCAACAATAAACTCAGTAAGCAATTCTTCCACCAAGCAATGTAGTTCTTCATCAGTAGACTATGGTTACCAAGCAGCCTGATGATACAGAACAACCTGGCACATCAATACAGAATTCAACTGATACGTGCAGACAGTTGTATGTATATTGCATTTTTTTTTGTTTTTTGTTTTTTTTTTACAGCAGATCAGCCAATCAGATTTTAGGACTAGATCTGGCTTATACGCACCACTAATGTTTAGTTTACATTTTTTATTTGAGATCTTATGCAAGTAGGCAACTAAAGACGTTCATCCAAAACTAGTATATTTAAATATATTAGTTTATACTATATTTCCCCAATTACAGGTTACCTAGTGCCATTTTAACATAAAGAAAAGCTGACTAAAGGATGGTCAGCATAAGACAATATTGACAGTGTGTTATTATTTTAACATACAGTAGAAGTGTCTGCTTTTCCTTTGGAGGCCCTAAAAAAGATTAAATGTAAAGTCTCCCAACAACTAGCCAACAAGTCAAACATTACCAATGAGTGAAAGAGGGGTTTGAATATCTTTAAAATGATCACAGGTCTTTTCTGTAGGATAGTTTAAAGTTTCAGTGTATGAGGGGGGAAATCTTTTACAAACACTTCAAATGACTATACAAAAATAATAAAAATAGATTTGTTTCTGAGTGTAATTAGCCTTAAAGGATAATTCCACTTATTTTTCTAGACTTGTGTGTTATTCAGTGGTGGAGATGTAAACAAAGTAAGCGGTTTAATGTGGTTGACTGTAGAGAAACTACAGCTCTATCACCACCACGTGAACAATTCTGATGCGGTACGCTTCTCTAGAATGGAGCATTTCACACCAAACCACTCTGAACGACTCTGTTTACAGCTTAACCATGTAACAAATTTAAGAAAACTGGTGGAATTTCCCTTTAATTAAATCTGTGACACCTTTAATAGGGGCAAAAATTTTGAAAACCGATCTAATTTACTTTCCCTAATGAGTGATTTAATATCAATACCTACTGTTTTACAGTGCTGAAAAAAACAATAATAGGGTTCACACAATGCAGTCATCTGTAAATATGTATATTTTCTATCTTCTGACAGAAACATGGGTTTAAAGCAGAAGGGTAAATGCAACATACTTCAAATATCCCAAAATAAAAATGGTACAAAAAGGGAACAGCACACACCCACACACACACACACACACACACACACACACACACACAGAGAAAACAAAAACTACTCCAGTTACTGCCATCCCTAAAGCAGAAACAGCCACTGTGATCATCTTCTTCATTCACTCTCAGCCTACAACCAGTACTGTAAGGGTGAGTAGTCTCTCTCGTCCTTCTGTAGGACTCTCCGCAGGAATGGAATATCTCCTTATGGGTGTGCATGTGTCAGTCCGGTCCAGGATCAGTGACTGGATCCGAGGTTTGTATCTGGGCCTTGGCTGAAATCACTGAGTTAGACTATGTGAGCTAATGGCTGGAAGTGGACTGAGGTGCTGAGAGTTCAGGCACTGCTTTCTCCTCCAGCTCAGCTTCTGCAGGTATAGCAGCCACATTCTCCAGCGGTTTGGGATTTTGTGTCTTGGCTAAACTGCCATAAATAGCCATTGCCTGGTGAGAAAAAGAAAAAAAAAAGCATTGGATTTTATTAGAAGCACACAAATAAAAGTAAACTACTGAAGGCCTCAATCAGGGCAGTTAGTCATCAACAATGTTTACGTGGGGAATAAAAACACAAATGTGTCTATACTGCTTCAACAGTGGTCTGGTGTGGTCCTACAGTAATGTCTGGTCACTCTTTTTACATCTTGGCTCCACATTTCCAGTCACAGTTCAGTTACTGCTGGCATAAAACAAGTAGTCACGCTAGAAGCTTAAAGGGGGAGGAGAAAATCAATGCTGTATTTTTAATTTTGTGCTGTCAAAAACTTAGGGACTAAAATTTAATTAAATTAAAGTTGATTTTAAATGCAAAAAAAATCTAAACAATGTTTAACAAAACCATTTTGAAATATTGGCAATGACAATAATAATTATAATAATAATGATAAATAATGCATTAATAAGTATAACTACATGTAAGTATTGACCACTACTAAAAATGGCATACTAGCAATCCTAAATTTTATGAATGTGAAACTATATGAATATGCAAATACACCCCCCACTGCCCTGCACACCATCTCTGTTACAGATCAAACAGACTTTCTGTTCCACCTTAAATGGAGCAGTAGTTACATTCTGGCACTTCAGGCATCAGTACTGCTGGACTATTTAAGGTGGAATGGGAAATTTGTCTAGCTAGGTAACGAGACATCAGCATACTATTAGCGATTTTTTATGCTTGTTATGAAGAAAAAGATAATACGACATTAAAGACAATAATGTTATCGTAATTTAGTTATCGTAAATTGTTGAATTTACAGAGCCGTTTGGGATCCAGCCTGTGTTTGGCGTTTAAAGTGTGTAATCCACTCAAGTGACATTTTTATACTGCCGTTTTACAGTTAATCATACCGTACGTCCGTTAATTCAAGGCTGTGATATTAATGATGGAGCTGTTTAGGCTGTTGGCTATCTTTTAGCCTATTAGCTAGCTGACCAGCCTAGTTCTAGTTAAGAACATAAGTTGCCCCTCAGTTTAAACAAAAACGGATTCTTACTTTATCAGTATCCTCGGTGTTCCATACGAGCAGCATGAGAGTCAAAGATTAATCCATTAACAGCACAAGCAGCACAGCGCATTGATACAGAGTTTAGTTGTTGTGAGGCGGTCATGGGTGTGCCTATATCATATATTCTAAAACAGCTTGGAACGCAGCTTAGCAAACCAGATTTTAGGACCGGAACTATCTGTTTTCTAAACCCTCATTAAAATTTTTGGATGCTGGGTGACGCGGCGCATCCAGTGTGCGGTGGCCTTAAGCTCCTAGGTAGCACCCCACAAATCACTTTTTTTCGGATGTACTAAGAAAACCTGTGTTGTCAATGTAAAGATGTGAACTGTGCACTATGGCAACCAATTTATCACACATTCATATCAGTCTATATGAACATAATAAGCCCTCCAAGAGGAATTAACCATCCATATATCCATATATATATATATATATATATATATATATATATATATATATATATATATATATATATATATATATATATATAAAAATAACCAACCAACCAACCACAAATTTCTTGTTCAGGGGGTCTTTAAGGCCAAAATTCACTGAAGATATTTTATGCAAGCAGCCTATAGAGACCTATAAACCAAAAACTAACAGCCACTTCAAAAACATTTAAAAGCCCTGGTAAAATCTGAATAAATAAATAAATAAATAAATAGTTTGTAACCTTTGGCTCAAATAACAATTGTTCTGGCTACTATGCATGGAGATAACTTCACAACAAGTGGGGACTTTTCTTGTTTATGCCTTTACCAACAAGGCAATTGGCTCTTTTTATTCAAGGGCAGGACTTCAAGTAAGCTGAGCGTTACTAGCCATATCATTCAGATTTCAACCAGTGAACTGTCTTTCTATTATGACGTCTCTGCTTAAATCCACTTTCTAGTCCTGAATTTTATAATTATGACATTAGGAGGCCACTGGAGCTGTGTTCAGACTGCAGGCAAAATGAAGTTGACTCTCAAATCAAAATCAAATCTTTTGAGATGTCTGTCCGTACTGTTATTTGCAAGTGATCCGACTGGATTTGTGTGTTTTCAAACGTGGATGCAGGACAGACTTCAAAATCCTCTGGAAGAAGCATGAATCTTTGGTGCTCTTCTTGAATTCCGCACTTCCGTCACTCTGGATTTGACATCGTCGTTGTTTGTCGTGTTGCAAGTGATGCAAAAAAAACACTCTGAAATCCGATAAGAGCTAGAGCATCCAGACTGAGACGCATCTGTAAAAATCTGATTGTAATCATTTCATGTGTTTTTGCTGTCCAAAATATCAAATCAGATTGATTTGAATTGGAAACAATCTGGATATGCCAAAAATCAGATTCAGGCTGGCAGCCTGAACATGGCCTTAGTTATATTATCAGTTGTAACTGTAATCCAGAAAGTGGATTAAAGAAGAGGAACCAAAAGAAGGCACAAGTGTTTTATTATTCAACTAATCAAATAATAGTCAACAGATTAATAAAATCTAAAAATAATCATTAGTTATCTCTTACCAACAAGGCAACTGGTTCTTTTATTCAAGGGCAGGACTTTATGTAACACCAAGCTGGGCATTACGAGCCATAAAAAGCGGAACAGATCTGTTATCAACAGATTTATTAATCTGTTGACTATGTTGATTACTCTATGATTCATATAACGATTGTACAGGAAATTACTAAGGCAGTATCCCAATCACTCAAAGCAGAGAGAATATACTAATATTCCCTGCCTGATAAGTCTGAGGATGGTGACCAGTAGTTAAGTGTGCAGTAGAGTAAGGCAGTCTGACCTGAGTGACCATGCTGGAGATGTCTCCTGTGTTGGAGGGCAGGATGATGGTGTTTGACTCCTTGGCCAGGTTGGAGAAAGCTGAGACGTACTGCTCCGCCACACTAAGGGACGCAGCAGCATTTCCGTTCTGATGAAAACACAAACAGTACCGTCAGCATGTGCAGACCTTATTTGTGCTTTCTTTGGCAAAAAAAAGATGCAAAATAAAAAGTATTTCAAAACTCAGTTAGGATACCTGCTGTGTCAGCGCTTCAGACAGTAGTCTAATGGCCTTTGCTTTAGCTTCTGCTTTGGCAAGCACAGCATTTGCCTCACCTGGTGAAGAACAAACCGAGATTAAACCTCGAATTGAAAGTCAGTGTATATACAGTAGGTTACACACAAACATACGCTGGCAGAGAGTCTCACCTATTGTATCTAATACTAATCAAACTGCAGAGGCGTCTCCACTGCTCTCCACAGACTCTAGAGTTGTTACTCTACCTGCAGCTTTGTTGATCTGTTCCGCTTTCTGTCCCTCAGAAGCCAGAATCTGAGCCTGCTTGCGACCTTCTGCTACGTTTATAGCCGCCTCCCTTGTTCCCTCAGACTCCAGAACTGTGGCTCTTTTCCTTCGCTCTGCTTCAACCTGTACAAGAGTCATACGCCAGATTATTTATCAAACCTGTGTACAATAATTCAAAGATTTCTGTGGCACTGTACCTACTAAAATGTGCTCTAAATATATTTATCACACCGCCTGTGTAAAAATGATAGCAATATATTACAAGATTTACACAATTCCACCTATATAGCCTACAGTAGCCTCTCCCCTTCACACATAAGGAGCACTTCAGCTTTTTAATACAGGACCAATCAGACAGTCGATCCAAACCCTAATTTCAGAATCAGAATACTTTACTGATCCCAGAGGGAAATTTGCATATACATCAGTCTTAAAAGGCATAAGAGCAAAACCAGCCTGTTTGATTCTGAGGTATAAAGAGAGGTTGTGAAAAGGTCTTAGAAAAATAAATTGAGACAGTCTTTGACGCACAAAGCCATACAAACTTAATAGGTGGACTTCAGGGGGAAAAACAAAATACAAGAAAAAAGCAGGAAGGGGGGGCTATTAAAATAGAAAGAAGTAGCATCAGTGAGGAGAATACAAACAGGCTGAAATATGGTGAGCAGCATTGCTGCGGGTTCACAGCCTCTTACTAGAGCTAGCTGAAGTGGCATAATGAGCCATTCTGCAGGTCAGAGGGGAAATTCAAGACCCTGCTTCTGCTTGTTGCTCCTGTCATTAAAAAAAAAAAGCGAATGGTCATAGCCATTTAGTTCGTCATATATAGTCTTTAGTCAGCGTTTGCTTGCCATATAATTTTTTTTCCTCTGTTACAAGAGTTCTGCTGACATCCTGATGCATGTTTGTTTGGGTTGCAACCAAGACAATGGAGCTCTGATGGTCAGCCTGATTTTAACACATCCATAGAAAATAGAGCAGCTCTGATTAAAAATTCGTGCTGCATCACTGGCAATCAGTTTTAGACTCAGTGTGAAAGACATCATTAACATGTGTGTGTTCATTTTCAAAACATGACGTGTTTTTTTTTTGTCCATAAAACTCAGATTGTGTAAATAGGCCTTTAGTCCCGTAGTTAAAAGTTCAAAGACCTAACGTTTAAACAAGGAACTGCAGCGTCCTGTGATGAAGGGGCCTGACGAAGGGCAACAGCAAACCTTAAATTCGGTTCATATGTTTTACGTCACTGATCAGCTCTCAGGATTGGCAGAAGTTAGAGAAATATCACCGATCGCATATTTGGGCTAAAAATCGACCCATACCGATACACAGCCCTGATCTATCATTTCACCTAAAATAATCATTTAAAAGTCAAAAGCATCAGGGTTGGGAGTTTTTTGGACTATGTTGTATGTCTTTATGTATTAATGTCACAAGCGCAGACTAAAAAAGAAGCTCTGACTCAATGTTTAGCTCTCAAATGATCTCAATCAACATTATACTGATAAAGATTTGATGCCAATAGTAATTAATTCGCTTACATCCTCAGAAGATGCGTCCTTCACCAAGTTTTGAATGAATTCGCTTTGAATTCTCTTTCAACCGTCTCATATGCTCAAGGGTCCAAAGCACAACCCACATTACAAAATGTTTAAATCCCCAACACTAATGTAGTATAGCTTTGGGTAGCACTGAATAAGATTAAATAGACTGATTAGGCCTGATCTTAAATCAGTGCTCCTACTCTGAGATGCTTGATAAATGTGGACCAATGTTATTGTTGTTGTTGTTTTTTATCATTTATCACTCCGTGTTATCACTACCCCTGATTAAAAGGTGCTCACCTGCATCTGCATGGACTCTTTAACACGTGGGGGAACGTGAATGTCCTTAATTTCGTATCGCAGACAGCGAATTCCCCACTCATCTGACGCCTGGTTGATGGAGTGCACGATGTTGGCATTCAGGGACTCTCTCTCCTGTTAGAATGAAGCAGAACGTTTTTTTTCAACCACACAATCTAATTGATTGCAAAGTGTCCTACCTGTGCTTTTATATGTGATAACGGCACAGTTTTTTTCAACATGCTAGTATCACACAGAACAACTTACACAGTATACACCATACTAGTATTACACACACAATCATTTTGAAACATTCCCTGCACTTACAGTACCGTACACTTAAATAAAACTTCATAAAAACAACTTTAGTAAGACAATCTTTCAGTACATCACATCCAAGCCTTTCTAATTAGGCTGAAAAACGCTAGAATAGTCCTTTAATGTTCTAGTGAACACAATAAGATGTGGTGGTATGATTAAATGTATAAGAAAAAAACAAAAACAAATAAAGTGTCATACCCTAAAGACTTTGTCCAGAGTGAGTTTTCCTAATTCTGATCTCATAGTGGTCTGTGCCAGCTGGGTCACTGCATATTCTGGATCCTCCACTCCATAACTGGCCTGGGAAAAACAGAACAGAATGACATAAGACCAATGTAGAAGAAGCAGAGCTTAGAACCGCACTGCCTTCTATAACATACCTTAAAGGGGTCGAGTATCCGGAGGTATAAAACTCCATCAATCTGGAGTGTCACATTGTCTGAAAGAGGACACAGCAATTAATCCCTTACAGTGATGCTGAACCAAAATCCCCTCATTTCAGTGCAGCTAAACATTTGAAATACTTTTACTCACCAAGAGATACAGCGGATTGCTCTGGCACATCTATCACAATCTCTTTTAGGCTCTGCACATATCGGATTTTGTCCAGTATTGGTATTAGGAAGTTCAACCCCTGCAGAAATGAAATACACATGATATGTTCAAACATGTTAAAAGTATTAGTGGTTCATCTCTGTGTAATGTGTAATTAGCTCTCCACCTAGTCCCACCTAGACACCTAATACTAATACACACACACACACACGTATATTCACATAACATGGATTACAATTATATAGTATTTCACACTACTGCAATTATTTTGACAATAGAAAAAGTGAACATGTACAAGCTAGTTATAACAGCAAACATCCATCCATCCATCATCTAAACCGCTTATCCTTCTGGGTCGCGGTGGGGTGCTGGAGCCTATCCCAGCTGTCATTGGGCAGAAGGCAGGATACACCCTGGACAGGTCGCCAGTCCATCGCAGGGCAGACAGACAGACATACATATACTTTGGACTGTGGGAGGAAACCGGAGTACCCGGAGGAAACCCACACAGACACGGGGAGAACAGGCAAACTCCACACAGAAAATACCCTGGTCACCCGGCCAGGAATTGAACCCAGGCCCTTCTTGCTGTGAGGCGACAGCACTACCCACTGCGCCACCGTGCCGCCCATAACAGCAAACAATTAATTTTATTTAATAAATACATTTGTAACTATAAACATAGGTGCATTTGTGAGATCCTGCTGTTGTGTGTTTCTTCTTTTTCAGTGATGCACACAAAAGTGACATCAGCACCAACAGCTCCCCTTGTGAAGAACGTTCAGACTACTAAATATTGCTTCATGACGACCTGTGGATTCTCTGTTTAGTATTCCATTAGCAAACTAATCACTAAACAGATTAACCGGGAACATAAATTCTAACTGACTTCTTTAAAATCAAGCTTTGACTTTTAATCGAGTAATGAAGACAGTTCTAATACATATTTATTCATATAGAATGACACCTTGGGCACTAATTTCTTAAAATAATTTGTCATTTATCTGAGAATTGAGTGTGTTTCTGCTTGCAAAAACCCAATTTACACATACAAGAAGAAAAGCAAACAAATACATTACAAAGGAAAAATCTTGTATTTTTCTTTTCAGAAAAACGTAGTTGAGATGTTGAGCTGTTTAGAAGGACACAGGTTTGGTTCAGAATTTCTCCTCAAGGCTTTCAGACATTGTGCGAATTTGTTAACAGCAACAAACCTTTATTAAACCTTTATTAAAGAGTAACCAAACCAAGCATTTTTAAATATATGTACACACTGTTGTTTTTGTATACTGAACTAAAGAAGGCATTGGGGTGCAGGGAAGGGAAGTGGAATATAAATGATTACTGTCCATATCTATAGTCATATTTTGTCATTTTTGTTCACTATAAAAACAAACAAAATAAATCCTGCTGTCTACAACATTCTAAACCTCGCTGGATGATGGTAAACAAGGCTTAGCGTACCGGCTCCAGGATCCGGTGGAAGCGTCCCATCCTCTCTACCACCCACGCCTCCTGCTGTGGGACGAAGAGAACGACTGTGTTCATGGGGAGGCTGGAGGCCCAACGCTGCTGAGCCCGCGTCCCCCAGAGGACCGGGACGGTCTGTCGCGAGTGCTAAAATCATAACAACATACAAGGACACACTTTAGAGAGACAACTGGAGAACAGGACGAGCATTCAACTCCTACAAAGACTCTTTAAACAGTGTTCACTGTTTACACTGAGTTTTAAGCTTTCTTCACTGGTTTTACTTGAACAATAAATCACAACAGCGCAAAAATGTCATGCATGTCAGGACCGTGGAATGCTTTACAGAATCTGAGCTGCCAAACCCAAACAAGAGATTCAGGTAGAGCTGGAACTGAAATAAGATGATAATATAAGATGGTTCAAAGCCACAGACATTAAGATTGTTTTGGACCAGTCCGCCAAAAGCACCTTACTGTTAAGACCACCTTAAATGGTAGAGAGAGAGAGAGAGAGAGAGAGAGAGAGAGAGAGAGAGAGAGAGAGAGAGAGAGAGAGAGAGATGCTCGCTTTACCCTTTAAGAATAGTCTTGGTGCTAAGATACTTTTCGAAAACTCAGCTCAATATAAAACTGTTTTCCATTAATACTTATATATAGTATAGACAAAGTTCCACTTTAGCATTACGCTGTTACATACTGACGATATACACATGATATGTTCAGAAAAATTTAAAGTACATACTTTATCACAATGATGATATATATTGTCATATTGCCCGGCTCTAGTTTCTTCCTCATTCAACACACGGCCAAGAAGCAATAAGAGTAATGAGAGCCTAACTTGACTATCAAAGGCTCTGAATGGGTCTAGATAGACCATCATCATGTATATCAATACAATCTGTAGCAATACTGTCAGCAGAATACTCTGAGAATGCTAACCTGAAGTTGATTTCCTATTAGCCAGCTTCTCGTTCGAATTTTCCCGTTCCACCTTAAATGGTGCAGCAGTTCCATACACCATTTAAGGTGGAACGGGAAAATTCATACCAGAAGCTGGCGAATAGGAAGCGGTCTTAAACTCACCTTTACAAGGCCACTGCCAGCCCGCCAAACCACAGACCTCAGCATATTCACAGCGGATAAAACAGCTCAAAGCCCAGCTTCTCCTAAAAGCGCTCAGAAATGATGAAACTGCCCCGCAACCTTTCAACCCTTCAGCTGCAGCGTGACCCTCCTGCTGCTCTTCTTCTGCGAACCTGCTGCGAGCGGCACTAACGCGCTCAGAGCGCCCCCTACCGACGCTAAGAGCATTAAACAGCCCGGCTGGGAATCTCAAATCTGGTCTCAAAAAGCTTCATAGTGCTTTAATCAGAACCGTATTTGGGCCCCCAACCACCCCAGTAATATGATTAAAGATACTTAATCCTAATCATAAAAACTGAACACAATACAACATAATGAACTATATGTAAGGTAAACTGAATATCTTGGCTGCTAATACTAAAGTGGCAATGTAAACAAAATAAATGCACGATGAATAGGTAAAATACACTCTCTCTCTCATACACACACACACACACACACACACACACACACGCACACACACACACACACACACACACGCAAATCTGTTCGGAGAAGCGCAAGTTCACATTTCCGGTCTGGTTTCACTCAATCTCACCACTAGAGGGCGCTGTGGTGGAGTAAGTGTAAATCTTTTAGTCCGGATCTAGCAGCTACTTACTCCCTACATACTGCACTACATAGGTAATAAAAGTTTGCCTCTTACAATCTAATAGCCCATTAAATGTCCACCAGGCTGAATTCCAAACAGATCTCTAAACATTTAATGCACTGTTTAGATGCAGAAGACATTTTTCACTCCCTATTAAGGGCACCACACAGGGAGTAGGGAGCAATTTGAGATTCAGCCATAGTCTGAAAACGCGCTGCACAGTTATAACCTGACAGGCACTTTTGTCACTAAGCTTTGTCTCAAGTTTTATCCTCTCACTGTCTTCCTCGTCACCTAAATCGATGGCCAAATTAAGTGATGGAGACATATTTTGGACAAATGATAGAAAATCAGGGCAGGTTTTGCTCCTGTTACAGTTCCAGCAGGGCCAGCATGACACAAATAGGCCTACAAAGTACACAAAGGAGTTATATTTACATATATTGTTTAAAGTATGTGTTCAGTTTTAAATATATTTATATATGTTTGTGACAAATATGCAAATGTACGATTTGGACAGTACTACATAGTATAAGTTGTTTTTTTATTGAAAATGTAATATTTAATATGTGTATATGTATAAAAAAAATGTGCAGCTTTACTAAACACGATCTCTTAGGTATTAAAACATTACATTTTGTTTCTTAAAGTTAGCCTGTCTTTTGTTTATTTATGTTCCTGGTCATAATAAAAAACTATTCATCCAATCATCTCATTTAAAAGACAAAATTCATATTTTCACATCATCTTCCATCTAAATATAGTGACTTTAGTCCTCCCTTTACTCACAAAAAGATTATATTAGCAATAGCACTGGTTTAACCTTAAAAAATAAATATAAAAAAAAAATCAATAAGTATATAACGAATAAGCATAACGCTCAATGTTCGATCTACAGTTTCACGCTATTACCAACCGCACTTTCTAGGGCTCCGTGCGTCACACCTGTTCCTTCAACCTGTTTATTCAAGCACTGGCCCCGCCTCTTCACTCCTATTGGCTCTCACCTCGCGTTGCCCCTCCTTCTCGCGGAACTGTAGCGCTCGAATAGGCAGTTTTAGCGTCACTAAAACCTGCAGGCTCCGCCCCTTCTACTCAGTCAACTGATTTTTTTTCTAACCCTGAAGCGTTTTTATGATGGCGATGGGACATCCTGAGCGTCAGTAGGACACTTTAGATGAACTTAATCTAGTGAAAAACTCGAGAAAAGTCACTTTTTCACGCTTTGCAATGTACCCGGACTGCAGGCGGCTAAGCTGAATCTCAACATAAACACGAACGCGGGATTTAGCAGAGAGGAGAAAAGCCTGGCATGTCTCTGCTCTGTGTGAGAGGTAAGGCTTTTCGATATAACTGGAAGTTACTGAGCTTTTAACGTGTAAACAAGACTGTACTCACTTTGTCTGGTTGTTGTTTGTTGGAAAAGTTGCCGTCGCTAAGCGAGGATGAAGTTTATTCGCAGCTTCCCGTTCGAATTTTCCGTTCCACCTTAAATGGTGCAGCAGTTACATTCGGGCTCCACAGGCTCCCAAATAAAACTGCGGCACCATTTAAGGTGGAACGGAAAATTCGAATAGACACTTACAACTAACATTTTCACTGCTGCGTGGTACTTACTCAAGCACTTTTAAACCCTGTTTTTCACATTTCAGCTAAAAGTTTCTTCATATTAAGTAAATTTAAGGTCTAATTTCGTGCTTAAGTGTTATATAATCTGACGTGTGTGAGTCCACAACCTACAACCTGCCAGCTGTTTCTCCACTGGGACTGTGATGGAGCAGCAGTTACCTTCTAATTCATACAAAATGTACTGTTTGGCAGAGCTTTGGAGGGATATCACAACAGAAATTGAGCCAAAAGACATTTATTTTTAAAGTTTTTTTAGATTTAATTGTTTTAACCTGTAGGCCGGTGAACAAGTGCTGCTTTTAGCAGTGCTTTAAGTTTAAAATGTTCATTCAAAACAATGTTCAGAGGCATAAATGCATCAGTGTTTGTGAAAGAACTCATATTTAATTCATGACATACTGCGCTCTCCTGAATTCAGCTGGTGTTGGTGTTATCACCACTAAATTTGCTATTACAAATACTTATACCAATAATACTAACAGTAATGTATTTTTCCTTTCTTAGTCAATGGCATATAAAATTATTATGGTGTATATATTACTGTTAATCAGTTTGAAACAACAGTTAAATGACCTGAAGGGGAATTCCACCAATTTTCAAAATTAATTCATAATTCAGTAGTTGAGATTGGTTGTTTGATGTAAAATGGTTGATTGTAGAGACTCAGATTTCTTTACCGTGGTGGTGATAGGAACCAGGGGTCACCACAACATAAATATAGCTATTTTATTTACTATCCAAAAGCATCAGTGAAGCTACACGTGTCTTGTGAGTTTTATATGGAATGTTGATTTTGAAATAGTAGTAAATGTTTTTATATTTTCCTGTTCAATGTTCTACATGTACCTCTCAACACTGAATGAATTTAAAACACACATTTTAGCTAAAAGACTCGTCAAAACTATCATAAAACAATATCTCCACATATTCATATCCATTTTATGTAATAACTTTCTGTGAGGGAGCTTTTAGAGGTGGACATCTGGTTCCTATCACCACCACTGTGCACAGTTTTTCTAGAACAGAGCACACCTCTGAATGACTTCACTTACATTTCAACCATTTAATTATGCAGAGATGTAGAAAAATCAGTGGAATTCTCTTTTAATTTGCATATGTTCGTGTGTGTCTCTGCTGGTGTATGTTGTTCCCATACACACTCATAGAAATGCCCTGTTTTTTGCTCCCTGGACAGTCGTAGATCAGTATCTCTCTGTTGTCTGACCTCGTGTGAGTGTCTCCTGGCTGGTCCTACTGTGTGCTCAGTGTGGTCTCTGTTTAATGTTGATGTCGTTTTGCTGCAGGACTGAGGGAGGGTGCTGGGACAGAGGCACACAATACAGCCAGTCATTGTTATTACACAGGTCAAAGTTAACAATAGGAGGCCTGAGTGGTAGTGGTTGGACAGAGATACAGATATAATGACTTTTATTCATCAAAGTCACATGTGATCAAATCTGATCGTAAAATGGGTTAAAATTTCGGTTTTGTTATTCGTCGATTTCTTTGGTGTATCTGTGCGATCAAACTCACATCTGGTAGAAGTGTGGATTATTTGAGCGGATTATTAACTAGCCAAAACTTTTAGTGTATTATCTATAATACCAATAGTAAGAATACAAATAGAAAATAACAAAATTAATAATTTGTGCACAAAAGTGTACTTATTTTACACGCACACTCATATACAAACACTGCAGCTATTCCACGTTCTATTTAAAGACATATTTCACTGTACTTTTGTTTTATACTACCGACTCTGCCCACAAAATACACAATACAAAACACAGCTAGTGCAACGGTGCAGTAATCCAGTGTTTACGTATTTTATTTTAGAAAAGTAATCACATCATTTTACCATCTTAAAAAACTAAGACGTTTTGTTTATGTCATTAGTTCATTCTTTCCAGTGGTTGTAATTTTAACGCTATAAAGTTTGGTCAGTAGGGGGAGCAGTGGGCTCACTGCTCCACCTCAAACTCCTCCTACGAACACAGCGGTTGGTTTGTGAGACGCTGAATGCTGTCGTTTTACTGGCGAAACACCTGCGTGAATAAGGGTGTGTTTCGTGTAAATTGTATTTAAATGAGGAGCTGGTAGGCCAGCACTTGATTTCACGCACTGAAGCCAGTTCATCATGTGAACTCAAATCTCCGCTTGTTTCCACGTTGTTTCATGACTTCATGTAATTTCATGATCTCAGACACAGAGAAATTCATATGTCATCAAAGGCGGTAAAATCTACGCTCACTTTTTCCACAACTTTGTTGAATAAGGGCCACTGTATTCTTAAAGGCGAGCAATGTTGTATTCACTTTGTAGGATTTGTTTTGATGAACACTTTTCTAAGGTCCAAACAAGAGTTTGGTTTGTTGTGACATCTTTTTTATTTGGTTTCATATTGCTACAGTGCTAAAGTGCACCAAACTACACATGTTGGTGTTTGCTGATTGGTCAGAAATTAGGCTGGGATACATATCTTTCACATTAGAGCACAAAACAGAGATCTTTGAGTTTAGCTGGATCACGGTCCGTTTGTTTAGTGCACACCTGACTACAGGTGGAGTGTTCACACCTGTCAAAACGAACTGAACTAAACACAAAGTTCGATTACTGCACACCAAGCAAGGTGAGTATGGAAGCACCCTAAAGCAATACAGTCTAAACAGACCAAACACAGAATGTTTTGCTGTCTCCTTTCTTCTTCTTCTGTATGTGGAAAAGATGACGCTGTTTTGACACATGCGTGTGTTTATTCATCCTTTCAGTAGATCTGAATATGTAATCATAGAACAGCCACAGCAGAGGGTTGAGCTTTTTCATACACAGTATCATTTCATCTATCCATTCATGATGAAATGTTAACTCAATGTTATGGACACGATGTTTACAAATGGTGTGAAAACATGACGTTCTACATTTTATCTTAAAGGACTATTTTCAGCTGTTTCTTCTGTAATTGATTGGTGTCAGAGTCCAGTGGTGTAAATTACACATGTTGCCAAGATAGTATACAGTTACCAGTATCATGTAAACAAAATGAAAAAGTAACTTGGAGTGGTTTGGTGTGAAATGCTCTGTTCTTGAAACTTACAGAGTCAGAATTGTTTACAGTGGTGGTGATAGGAACCAGACGTCCACCTCTAAATTTTCTTCACAGAAGGTTATTACATAAAATGTTTATGAATACATTGCCTGATATCTGAGACACTGTTTTATCATAATTTTGATATCAGCTTTTGTTCTAAAACATATTTTTAAAAGTATATTCATGGCAGACAGGTACATGCAGGGCATTGAAGGCAAACTAGCCCCCAAAGAAAACCTATATTTTCCACTATTTTGGCAAAATCAACATTCGGTATAAAGCTTAGAAAACACGTGTAGGTTCACTGATGGTTTTGGACAGTAAATAGAATGCCTATATTTGTGTTGTAGACATGGTGACTCCTGCTTCCTATCATCGCCACTGTAAAGAAAGCACAGATGTTACATTTTTCTGTAGAAAGGAGCATTTCACAACAAACTCTGAATGACTTTGTTTTCATCTCAACCATTAAATTATGCAGTAAATTAATTCTATTCATGTAAAATCCCCCTTTAAGCTTCATAATATGGATCCATCTATAGATATGAACACCCCTCATAGTGGTGTTCTCCGAACGAGATGTTTGTGTTTTTCTGCTGCGGCTATTTTCCACAGCTTTTCTTCCTTTCTGAAAGGAAATGGAGGTTGAACCTGAGCTGTGCCCTCCTCTTCTGTTCTGCCATGCCAGAACAATGACGTGACTTAAAGTTATGCAAACGATGCATAATGAACGATCAGTGGATCTCTACAGCACAAACATACAAACTCATAAAAAGACTTTTCATCTGAGATCTAAAACTGTAAATTATTCAAAAAGACGAGATGTTATGCCATCTTCAGGTCTTCACAGATGCAGCTGACAGTGTTGTGGTTTGGAGGGAGAAGTCCCTTTTGTCCTGTTACTAAAAAGATTTACCAGAACAGTTGTCTTTTTGCTGAAAGCATGTTTATGGTGCATTCGGATGGGCCATGAAAACTCATAAATGCACGAATCAAACAAGTTTACCACATGGAAGTTGCACTCAAAAGGCTGACAAATTCATAAAAGTGGCTAACTTAAACAACCTCCTTTTACGATGGGGTGGGGAATATGACAACGTTTAATTATCATGATAAATTACATCACAATATGCTTTTCTGGGCGTATCGTGGATATCTTTAGTACTGACCAACTTCATGTCTTCTTACAAAGAGGCTTTTACTCTACACACCGCAGCGTAGAGAAACAACTGTGGTAGATTTCGCGTTTGCTAATTTAATTTCCTTAAGCAAAGAATGTGGTAATTCATAATTATTACATGTATGAGGTTTCTGCTCTGTTAATAAAAACAGAAAGTGTTCTTGATGTTTACCACATTTTGGAATAATCCGCTTCAAGAGAAGAGCAATAGCAGCTAAGAGACAGTATCGAATGTGTATTGTATCTGGCCGATATCCAGTTTATTTAATGCGGTCGTTATTGGTGCTCGTCCGGTTCAGAATATTGGATCGGTGAATCACTACATGTAAAACTGAATTATGGCTGTTTTTTTGGTACATAAAAGAGTATAAACTGTACACTTGGGCCTGAGGGAAGGAAATAAGATAGAGAAAAATACAGGATAAAAGAGAAGAATA